CCCAAAAATATGTTCAACCACTTTTATATAATAGCTGGGATATAATAATCGAACCCCTTTAGTCCTAGTTGATATCCAGTTTCTGAGTCTGCGGTTAAATTGCACGTGTTCCATTTTTGCCATCTCTGCACACAGCATACTTGTGTGTTTATATACGCTACTTAAATCACACTAGAGTCTGTAATGGCAGAATCTTTTAATATTAAAATTGGCACTGATGTGTAATATGTTATGTGGTGTGTGTGCTTGTATATATGCACACATACACAATAAAGTAAATGATAATTTTTCACGCCTTGTGTGGACTTATATTTTATATACCAATCAGCTAGTACGTGATGTGGTCAACACCACGACGCCCACCTATACTTTCCAGGACTTTACCCACTAAATGCTGGGGCGACCAGGGAATCCGAGATTGTTTTTACAGAGAAAGTCTGGCTATGTCAGAACATGAAACACAAATATATTCATTAATTATACTGGAGTTTGTAATGCACTGATCTCTCAATATATTTACTTGCAATGTGTAAATTCAGTATTCAGTTGAACATGTATCTAAAAGTCTGACAAACCAGTGGAAAATTTAACTACACACACAGCAATGCCCAAGAAAAATTTAGGAGATGCAAGGGTGTACTGTGCAAGGGTGTACTGCGCAAGAGATGGAGCGACACCATCAGGAGCAACCTAGAAGAAATGAACACCAACTTGTACAATGCACTGAAAAAAAGAGCAAAAACGATCCTTACACACACACACACACACACCCCCCCCCCCCCCCACTGGGGTAAACGGTGGAAAATAAGAAGAATGATGTGTAATACATTGTCTGCTAAAACCATGTTTCAATGAATATACTCATTTCAATCACTGGTGCCTCCGTTTTCAATTTGTTTTCCCCCTCCTACTTAGTAGTTAAAGTTAGCTGAGCATCCTTGCAGGGCGTTGCAGAACCAACCCCAGCATTTTTATGCTGTTTGTGATTTAACTATGCAATTTCACTTCCAGTAGTTTGCCCCCGCTTTTTGGAACCTCTTAGTAGGCCACATCTCAGATGGAGCTTGTATGCATGAGTCAACATATATACAGCCAAAGATATATTCTGCGTGTGTATAACCACATTGATGATAATAAAGAGAATAAAATTTAAGTTCTGACAACTCAAACAAGCCACAGCAAAAGATGATCACGTGTGAATATCCCAAGACCTTAGAAGTCAATAAATGATTAAATAATTTCTGACAGAACACGCCACCAATTTATAATAAAAACAACTGAAAATGTAGTTAGTTGAAGCAAACTTCAATTAATAAACAGAACTAGAATACTCTGCAATTATGCACGGTGCTCTGCAACTAGAAATAACAACAACCAATTAAAAATTATCTCAATAATAAACAAACAATCTAAACATAACAAACAATCTAAACATTTTCTTTCCTGTCTGAATTATAAATTGCAATACTCCCGTAGTCCTGGCCGTTGCAAAATAGTGAAAATGGGATGATTTTATATATTCTATTACATCTATATAAATGTGTGTATATGCAAGTGTAAGCACATACGTATGTGCCTCTCTCCGTCTCCGTTGGTCACTTCAACAATGAGAACGTTAACATGAGATGATATCCAACAAACAAATGAGTCTGAAATATTCAATGTTGTTACATCCAAGCAGAGACCCGGGCATCACAATGAGCTGTCGGATGCAAATGTTAGGGGGTGTATGAATAAAGCTTGACCGTTTCTGGTGGAAATGAATACAAATTACTATAAAGAAACAACACCTTGACGTGCACAATAACGAGCATACAATGAAAATAAATGCCGTTAAAAAAAGGCAAGGAGAAATCAAAAGTTAAGGAACAAGAAATGTTACAAACACAAATGTAAGGAAAAAGTGGCACTAACGAAGCCATTAAATTACAATTATATTTGTTTTGTTTTTTCTTCTTGATGGGTAGCCATTGTCATTTATTCACATGTAGCAACAGGCAAAGTTGTAAACCTTTATACTGATTCTTCTAGGGAAATACTGAGAAAATAATGACAAAAGCTTGTTATGCTACACGTACTGTCCCACCATATGCATGTTTTACAAACATACACTTGTTATACTCTGTAAAGAAACTAAAGGGAAAAGGAAATAGCAAAAAATAAGAGGTGACTACAAGCACTGACCCAGTAGCCATCACCACCACCAAAGATACACTCCCCGAGTTGAGGGAATAGATCTCTTTATGTCAACAACATCCTGAATCTTTGGTTACCCTTTCTAACTGCAGCAAGTGAGAAACAACCAAGAAATATTACTGAAAGAACTTTCTGTAATCACACACAACCTCCGACAGTCCGTATCTTATCCATGGATGTCCCCCACAATCTCTACACTAGGTGTGAGTCTGTGAGCTTTAGATATCATCAATGTCTATATCGTCATCATCATCATCATCTGCTGCGGCAGCGGCTTTCTTGTTTCCGTTGACAGCTGTAGGTGTTTTGACAGGTTCCACGGTGATCTCGCCCACCTTCTGGGTGTTGGAGTAGATAATCTGTATAGGATATATTTGTCATGTTAAAAAATCACCAGTCATACATCACATCATGCAGAAATACAATATCAACACCTCAAAAACTAGGAAACTTAATACACATTTTTTTAATTGTTTGATATGGAAATAATCCTATGTACAAATCTACTAAACAAAAAATGCCTGTTTGTTTTGAGGCCCCCCAATCTGGGAGAAAGACATAACAGCCTCATGGCCTCCCCTACAAGCATGTCCTACAAGGCAAATAATTAGGGGTTTCCTTCGAAGTTGGAATGCATCTGCCCGAAAGGTGAGGAACCAATAGTCTGCATACATAAGCCAGATCTGTTATAGAGATGAGCAAGCAAAACTCAAAATTCTGGAACAAGACTTCAAGTCCAGAAATGGGCGAACAACCAGAACCTTTGGCTGGAGTTTACTGCCAGTGGACACAAAGAAAATGCGAGGAAGTCGTAATTTTTTTTCCAGCAATGTGATTGCACTAATATCCATAAACTTACCTCAACATCTTCTTCTTCTTCCTCATCATCTTCATCTGACTCCTCCTCTGCCTGTTCCAGCCAAGTAAGGAAAGCCAGTGCCTCCTTTATGAGCTGTGCACTTTCCTCTTTACTGATATACTTCTTTGTTGCCTGAGAATACACATTTAAAGAACAAATAATAAATATCTGACAAGCAATTATAGAGCGTCAATTTCTGACAAATGCTAATTTAAATGCTGTTTTTTTTTTAAATTCCTTTATTTTAACTTTTTCGATTGTCTTTAAAAGGCTGGCGCATTGTGGACTCTTAAAGTCGGCTCAGACAAATCTGATGACTAACACCACAGTAAGAGTGAATGAAGGTCAGATATTGGTTTGGTCAGTCATGTATCATGAAGGGGAATCCAACATCGATTCATCATTCCTTCAGTCACACTGTACTTCAGCATTCACATCCGCTGATATTATCTAAATATATGCGTGCATTATGATATAAGTTATATCATGCATTACATTAGTTCTGACACACAGATAACATTTTTTTTTAAATATTCAATCTCTATACACAAGATGCGCTTAATACTTTCACTTATTTTATACAGAGAGAGTCATTTCACTAGAAAATGCATAGTAAAGAAATAAAGGAATGTTTCCCACATTCTGCTAACATACACGTTGAACAGACTGCATGATCTGCATCTTTAGGCCTCATACATCCAATTTCAGCAAACCCCTAATTTGATGACTTTTATAACAGACATGCTATTTGATTTGATTTAAGAACCGACATCACAGCACTCAGGGCATTCCCATAAGCGCTCCGTCCCCATCTTTAGCAGCCAGCGAAGAGTTCCGATACTAATGGTGCCAGTAGCATTCTGATTAAACGCCCGTCTTGCCTTTCTTCTGAGCCTCAAGCATCTGCCAGAAACTCTCATCGCTCCCCGCCGCATCAATCTCACCAGACTGTGGTGATCCATCTGCTCTTCCTGACTGTACACCCTCTCCCACAAGGCACTAACCACGCCTGCCTTATCATGTATCAGTATTCCACCAAGACATGCTATGAGGCCGTCTTATGTTTTAATATCTCCTGTAGACCACACAAACCAACCCCACTTCCAAGTGGTGTAGACTGGGAAGCCATGACCGCCAGTTCACTGGCCAAGGGAGCTCTGGCTCTCTTAGGCGGGTGGACTCATCTAGGTGAGTTTTACTTTCACCGCTGGAAGAAACAGATCAAGGTATAAACAGGCTGATCTAGACGGCAAAGAACCAGGCAATGTTGAAGTAGCCTCTGACACCAACCAAGAACTTCAAATACTTCATCCATGTGTGGGTTCCGCTGCCCCATTGTGAGGGAAACAAGAATAGACCCACTGCCTCCACAACAAGCATGTCGTAAGAGTCGACTAACTGGGTGTTTCCTTCTAAGTCGAAGTGCGTCTGCCTGAGAGGCGAGGAACCAACAGTCTGCATTCAAATAAACCAGATCTGTAAAATGTATGTGCACACAACACTCGGTTTCTGGAACAAATCTGAAGTCCAGAGGTTGATGAACAACCAGAACTTTCAGCCGGAGTGTACAGTCAGTCTATTCCACCAGCACATTCCATCCAGCGCAATCACTTTGACTGATAGATGTAATCCAGTCCAGCACGTCTGGTCTCTCACTAACATTGGCTTTAGGGTTTCGCTTGGTCGATGTTCCCTTATGCCCTCCTTTGCCCATTTCAGTGCCTGTTTGGCGATTCTCTGCTCGTTACTTCTCAGGGTGTGTCCTAGCATCATCACCTGTCTTATAACTTTTGTAACTACTGGTTTCCCATGACACTTTTCTTAAAAGAACATACCCAAGAATAAAACCTGTTCACAAATGACACCATTGGTCAGCTTTGGAGCTGTCTAACTGTCCCACAAACAAGACAAGTTAACAGATTAATGGCTCAAATTCCGCTGTTACCTTTTTGCCCCATTCAAGAATGACAGCTTCCTCCAGGATATCAAGGTCATAGAGAGCTTTTAAAATATGGCTGGTCTTGGACTTCAGCTCTGGATACTCCTTGACCAGCAGAATCTCCAGACCACCAAGCAGACTTTTCTGGGCTTTTGGATTCTGGGCACAAAACTGTAGGAAACAAGTTGTCTTTTACAATTCACATTCAAATTCCAAGGTAAAATATAACGCCTTGACAATTTTATGTAAAATAACTTCAGGAGTCAGTCCCCACCACTACAGAACTCAATATAAGGCTAGCCTGCTCTGGGTAATTTTAGCCAATGCTGACACTTGATAAGTTTCTCACTGGTCAGCTGAAGTAAAAACATTTTTTTAAAAAGATTTAATCTTGAACTCTTTCAGTCCTGAGAAATATAAGATATGTAATAGGTTCTGACTTCTGAGTCACAATCATTAATAACATTTTCCTCTAACTTTCTACATCAGGTCAGAGCAAATTATATTTTTTAAAAATCTAGCTTCCCCAGTGACCATTTCACTGACAGTGAAAGCCAAATACTTGTGATTTCTCAAAGTGAGATAATTTTCCCCTTCAAGCGGTCACTTCCTAGTAATAAAAGGGTTAACAAGCATTTCAATTAACTGCTTAGGTCAGTGTTTCCTAAACTTTTATTGGTCACTGCGCCTTTTATCAATAACAAAAATTTCCGCGACGTCCTAACCTAAGTAAAAGTGTGACTTTTCGTGTGTCTTGGTTAAATTAATTATGAAGCTTTTAAAATATTTCGCAGCGGCCCAGTGAAGAGGTTACAGCTCCCAGGGGCCCAGTTTTGAGAATCACTGTTTTAGATTAAAAGAACACCTGTACCATTCTTGCCATTATTCACTAGCCACTGAAGTGTGTGCGCGCTGACAAGAGAGAGACTCTCTTGCCTACATCACAACAGTGGTATATACATGCAGCAATGGCAGTTGGTAGAACACACATTAGCATAGCAGTAATCAGTGACTAAGTTTGATTGGTGTAAAACTACCCATCCTAATTTAAAAACTAAGCTACAACAAAAATGCCAAACATCAACAAATCAACAAAAGTCTCGGTGTGAGTTCACTGACAATCTATGCCTTACTGGGAGTTAATAGCAGGGAAAAAAACAACTGCTTAACAATCTAAACCATTTTAATACAAACATATCAGTTTGATTTTGTGGCACCAAGATTTTAAGCTACTATAGAAAATGACATCTGCATACCCTTAGGAACAGTTGTTTGTACTTCTGCAGCTGAGCTAAAGCTTGTTCATTAAGCAACAGCTCTACCAAGACTAGAGGCACCTTATCTGTGACCTCCAACCTCTCAGCTTCAGAAAACAGATCCTTGATGGCAGCAGGTTTGATCAGCTCGCCATCATCTCTCTTGATCTAGCAAAGACAAAAGTAACATACTGAAAATTCATGTTATGATTAATGTGAAGCTAGAATGGTTAAGAGCAGGAAAAATCCCAGCATTCACTGGGACTTGAATCCGGGACCTCCAGCACTCAAGGCGGAAGCCATGCCTCGAGACCATCCAGCCCCTGTCTTTGTCTGAAAGTATGACTCGTAATTCCAACGTACCACGATTGAAACCCACTGCTGGCTGCGGGGATTTTAATCATGGTACGGGGCATCGCAGGTCAACCTAGCTTAAAATGGGTACCAGGATGGCTGTCCTGGGGAAATAATGACGCCGGCCTAATGCTGACCACATTACCCACCTAGTGCTGATTGGTCTGTAAAAATATGGGTGCTTCTCCCATTTGCCCGATGCGCCTAATGGCGTGAAAAGGGATTTTTTTTACTAGAATGGTTAAGGGGAGCTGTGGTTTGAATCTGCACCAAGATTATTTTTTTTTAATGAAGGCAGCCTAAAATTAGCAGCGGGTTAAAGTCTTAGGAAGTAAAGATTGTTGGTGTGATTTGGCAACATCACCTCCTACTGAGTGCCAACAAGTCCTCCTTGTGTTGGTTTCGAGATCAGAAAGCATAAGGCAAACTACGGGTCGAGTCAAATCACTAACAGCTTATTGAATAATGTTAAATTTTTATTTATTTTTAAAAAAGTACAACACAATTTAATTTAACGTTTGGTCTTTAAACCCCCACACCCCACAAAAAACACTAATTACCTTGATTAACTCATAGATCATGTTCAAACGGTCTTCTGCAGATTTCTCTAAATCATCTGTAAAAGCCAAGCCCTTTGCAGCATCCGACAATTCCTCCATTCTCTGCTTAATTGCTTCTTCGGTGAACTCATCACCCCAATCATCATCATCTTCGTCATCATTTTTGTTAGCTTTCTTTTTCTGAAACACAAAAACCACAACATCAGAAGCCACTGTCAAAAGGCCATTTCATACCATCAAAGCCTAAACAGTGTAATGTGAATATTTCTAGCTCTTTAGTGTACTTTTATCTACATTTATCTAATATAAAAGTATTCACACCCTTGCCAAACAATGTAATGTGAATATTCTTCTTCTTCTTCGCGTTCACACTCTGGCGTAACGTTCTGCTTGTTCTTCCACTTCTGGACTGCAGTCATGCTCCAGAACCTGAGTGTTGCGTGTGCATCAGTTTTACAGATCTGATTCAATTAAATGCAGACTGCTGGTTCCTTGCCTCTCAGGCAGATGCACTTCGACTTCAAAGGAAGCTCCCCAGTTAGTTGACCCTTACGACATGCTTTTGGGGAGGCAGTGGGTCTATTCTTGTTTTCCCCACAATAGGGCCCCGGAATCCACACAGGGGATAATGTGAATATATTTCTGGATGTTACCATAATATATTGACAGATACTGACACCATGCCAAAAACAATGTAATGTGACCAACACTAGTCAGAATGAAGGTCAGATATTGGTGTGGTCAGTCACGTATCATGAAGGGGAATCCAACATCAATTTCATCATTCCTTCAGTCACATGTACAACAAACTACCATAAATAATTTCCCAAACAATGTAATGTGATACATTTCTCTAGGACGCGCATGTGTATTGTAGCGCACAAGAAAAGATCCCTTGGCAGTTGGAAATCGAACTGCTCGAAAGTTTGGAGTTCAAAAATCTACACAAAGTATTTTTCAGGATCCTCGCCGGTGCTACATAGTACGTGTACTGCATTAAGATTCTTCGGACTCAGGCTTAAGTCAGAAGTAGAACGGAGCACTTATGGGTTATTACCCTTGTGCCATGATGTTGATCCGTCGCCTAAACCTTCGGACAAAAATAAATATTTGCATCATTCACAAACAAAAAAATGTAGATATATTTATATATACTCTGTAGTGTTCCTAGCCACCTTCATAAAAATGACAAAAATCTACACAGAAGGTGATATGTCAGAATTACCAATGAGATGCATATAAAATGGTAAAGTATGTAACATAATAGATAGTAAACACAGCCCGGAAGGCTAGAAGTTTAACCCAGGCAACAAATGCCTGCAGAGGTTGGGTTATCTGCTGAAAGTCACAAACATCGCAGCCATGTTGTTAATTAACAAGCATAGCACATATGTCACCGGACGAACGCAAAAGTAGAAGCAACAATTACAACGGGTCTGGCACAAGACGGCTAAAGACTACTGGTGGATAAAGGGCATCAGAAGACTCGTGACAACAAAAGTGTCCTTATGGAAGCAGTTTTCTCCAAATGCAACTGGTGTCTGAACTGAAAGCATGTCTGAGTTTGTGTGACTGCTCTAGAAGCCCAGCAATTTATTCTTTGCTGACTTAGTTGGATAATATCAAGATAAATATGCATTTGTATGCGAGAGACAGGAGTAACAGTATGTGTGCGTCTTTTTAGAGATAGTGTTTTTTTTTTAATCGCTCAAAATGGCATTTCTGGAACGATATATAAACAGCAAATTTTATTTTTGAAATCAACTATTTTGGTTCACACATAAACACTAGAAAAACACCCAAACTGACAATTCTAAAAACTAACACCACAGTAAGAGTGAATGAAGGTCAGATATTGGTTTGGTCAGTCATGTATCATGAAGGGGAATCCAACATCAATTTCATCATTTCCTCAGTCACACGTACAACATACTGTACTAGAAATTACTTCAAAAACATTTTAATGTGAATTAGGGCTGTACCGAATATTCACTTCGGGGCCGAATAGTGGACCTATTGACTATTCGGTATTCGGCCTGAATAGTTGCGGTCGGGCCGAATACGAATAGTGGTTACCTTACACCCGCTTCTGCATACACGGCCTTAATACTGGCAACACGGAACGATTGGTTTTGTTGAAAGCTAATGCAGCTTTCATGCATTAACTAAGCTGTCAGTGACAATTTCCAAGTTTAGTTACTTGTTATATTTTTTTAGGATTCTTTCATTCCTAGTTATTAGTTACCACAGACCGACTAAAGGATGCAAAACATAAAATGTTTTTAAATTTTTACTATTCCGTACGAACACTAACTAGACATGGAAAGATAATAAACTCCGGCCACATCCAAGACGATAATATGAAAATCAAACGAATGGAAAAATATAAGTATTTGGGTGCAAACTTCAACTGCCCAACATGCTGAGAGAAGAAATACAATCTAGAATACAATCTAGAAATAAAGTATACTATGCCCTTCAACATCTGCTAAAGTCAAAGTGTCTGTCCCGCAACACCAAGATCAAAATATATAAAACGTTGATAAGACCAGTCGTTTTATATGGCTCTGAAACTTGGAAAAAAAATGAAAAGGATGAGGCCTCATTACATGTTTTAAAAAACAGACTCACGAATAATCTTTGGACCCATCAAAGATGCTAACAGCGGGGAATGGAGAGTGAGAAGCAACAACGTAACACATAATCTGTTTAAATCACCCCTGATCACTGGCATCATGAGAGCTAACAGACTAAAATGGTTGGGGCATATTAAAACAATGTCAGAAGACAGAAAAGTAAAACTGGATACACCTGAGAGAGAGATGGGCGTAGACCACGATGCAGACAAAAAAGAAGTTCGAGAGATAATGTCCAGCCCGACCTGCAAACAACTGGTGTCACAAATTGCGAAGAGAAGGCCAGCCAGAGAGATGAATGGAGACGAGTGATATCTGCAGCAGTAAACCTCAAGGGCTCAAAATGCTAAAGAAGAAGATGACTATTCTGTGCTACTTTATGTGAAGTAAAAGTTCAGCGTACATTTGACATTATGAATGTGTATGTGTGTGTGTTTTTTTTTAAAATATATTTCATACACTATACACTATTCGTATTTGGCCGATTAGTTGGTCCCGTTATTCGTATTCGGCCGAATAGTGAAAATCACTATTCGGTACAGCCCTAATGTGAATTCATTTCTTGAAATTTCACATTTTACTTATCCATGTTAATAAAATAACAAAATAACACTACATCAAAATACACTGACATGCACTGTGAATATATTTCTTGCAAATTTGTAGTGTACATATTCATGTACCTTCAGATAACCACAAATACTGTAGTGTTCCTTGCCACCTTTATTAAAAAAACAACCATCTACACTGTATCTACATTAGTATGTCACAATTATCACTGATATTCTTAATATGGTAAAGCATGAATTATAGGAGATAGTATATACCACGGGAAAACTAAACTGGGGCACAAATGCCTGCAGAATTTTGAAGTGTTGGCTGAACGGCACAAATATCACAGCCATGCTGCAAACAGGCTCAAATCATTTACGTCTTCGGATAACACAGAAAAATATGTATATGTAAGGGGTTTTGGCTGTGAAGCAGGCAGGAATATAAAAACTTGTTTACGTGAATTAAAACAGACAAATCTGAAGACTAACACCACAGTAAGAGTGAATGAAGGTCAGATATTGGTTAGGTCAGTCATGTATCATGAAGGGGAATCCAACATCAAATTCATCATTCCTTCAGTCACACAGTACTTCAGCATTCACATCCGCTGATATTATCTAAATGTGTGTGCCCTATGATATAAATAGTTTTATATCATGACAATAGTTCTGATACAGATACATTGTTAGATGTGCTAAATACTTTTACTTGTTTTACACAGAGGGAGCTATTTCACTAGAAAATGCTTGGCAAAGAAATAAAAGGACTGTTTTCCACACCTTCAGGCAGGTAGGGCTAGACCATTTGGTGGGTGATATGGTCAACATTACGCCAGCCACCTTTACTTCTCAGGAATTTACCAGGTATTCATTTAAGGCTGCAGTCGACCTGGGAGCGAAGGTCATTTTTAAGTCAGGTCCTGAACTCATGACATTTGGACTCACAGGCAAGTGTCTAGCCACTAACCTGCTGAAATAAAGGCAGTTAAAACTACGCCCAAAACAATGTCATGCACTGTGAGTATATTTCTAGCAATTTGGTAGTGTACCTATCCATGTGCCCTTGGACAAAACAAATATTCACATCATTCCATTGTAATGTGAATACATTTCTTGAAGTTTCATATTTTACATATTCATGTTATTACAATAACAAAAAACAGTCATGCACAGTGAATATATTTCTTGCAATTTGGTAGTGTACTTACTCATGTACCTTCAGATAACGACAAATACTGTTGTGTCCCTTGCCACATTCATTTAAAAAAATACCTACACTGTATGACTACACTAGTATGTCAGGGTTATTAATGAGATGAATAATCTGGGAAAGTATTAATTATTAAAGATAGTATATACAATGGGAAGACAAAACGGGAAACAAATGCCTACAGAAGTTAGGAGTGTTGGCTGAAAGGCACAAATATCACAGCCATGTCTCAAACAGGCACAACTTAATTACGTCTTCGGATAACACAGAAAAATATGTATATGTAAGGGGTTTTGGCACAAGGTGGCTGTGGAGCAGGCAGAAATATAAAAAACTTTTTTTGACGTCAGCTCAGACTGACAAATCTGATGACTAACACCACAGTAAAAGTGAATGAAGGTCAGATATTGGTTTGGTCAGTCATGTATCATGAAGGGGAATCCAACATCAATTTCATCATTCCTTCAGTCACACAGTACTTCAGCATTCACATCCACTGATATTATCTAAATATATGCGTGCCAAATGATATAAAGTTATATGTCTTCCATGCCTTTAGGCATATTGGGCATGTAGGGCTGGGACCATTCGGAATGTGATGGGTGATGTGGTGAACATCACTTCCGCCTCCTCTACTTCACAGGAATTTACCAGGCACCCATTTAAGGTTGGGTCGACCTGGAAGTGACAGTCATTTTCTTTTAAAGTCAGGTTTTGTCCGGTCCTGAACCCATAACCTTTGTACTAACAGGCAAGAGTCTAGCCACTAAACCGCTGAAATAAAGGCAGTCAAAGACCAGTGATGGAAGAACAACCATAACTTTTCGCTGGAGTTATTAACACCCGGTGATCACAAAGAAATTATAGGTGATTATAACATCCTCAGAACACACGTTTGGTAAAATCCACAAAACAATTTGCATCCAACCTATGTGAGATAACAATGGATGCTGCACATGTAAGCCATTGAAGGTCAGATATTTCTTCTTCTTCTTCTTCGCGTTCACCAGCTGTAAACTCTGGCGGAAGGTACTGGTTGCTTGCTCATCCACTACTGAACTGCAGTCCTGCTCCAGAAGCTGAGTATTGCGTGTGCATCAGTTTTACAGATCTCATTCTCTTGAATACAGACTGTTGGTTCCTTGCCTCTCCGGCAGATGCACTCCGACTTCAAAGGAAGCTCCCCAATTAGTCGACTCTTATGACATGCTTTTGGGGAGGCAGTGGGTCTATTCTTGTTTTCCCCACAATGGGGCCCCGGAACCCACGCGGGAGGAAGGTCAGATATTGGTTTGGTCAGTCATGTATCATGAAGGGGAATCCAACATCAATTTCATCATTCCTTTAGTCACACATACAACATGCTGCACTAGAAATAACTTCTTAAACAGGTCTAATATTTCTTGAAGTGTCATAATTCACTTATCCACATTATTATAATAACAAATATCAACACTATACCCAAAACAACGTCACACGCTGTGAGTATATTTCTAGCAATCTGGTAGTGTACCCATCCATGTATCTTCAGACAAAGACAAATATTCACATCCTGCCTACACAGTGTTAATATATTTATACAGTGAAGACCCGATAAGAATTCAAACCTCCCCAAAAAATTTCAGGGTAAAAACAAATTGTTCTTCACAACAGAAATTCGCCATATACGAGATCGCCTAAAGCAGTCTGCAATGCCTATATACTTAACATACAAAAATATACATTGTAGTGTTTCTTCATAAAAACAACAAATATCAACAGAGTATGACTACACTAGTATGTCAGAATTATCAATGATATTTACAATATGGAGAAAGTATGAATTATAAAAGATAGTATATACAGCAGAAGGACTAAATCAGGACATAAATGCCTGCAGAAGATAGGAGTGTTGGCTGAAAGGCAAAAATATCACAGCCACAACCCCTTAACCACTTCGGATAACATAGAAAAATACGTTTATGTAAGGGGTTTGGCACAAGCTGGCTGTGGAGCAGGCAGAAATATAAAAAACTTTTTTTGACGTCAGCTCCGACTGACAAATCTTATGACTAACACCACAGTAAGAGTGAATGAAGGTCAGGTATTGGTTTGGTCAGTCATGTATCATGAAGGGGAATCCAACATCAATTTCATCATTCCTTCAGTCACACTGTACTTCAGCATTCACATTCACTGATATTCCTTCAGTCGCACTGTACTTCAGCATTCACATCCACTGATATTCCTTCAGTCGTAGTGTACTTCAGCATTCACATCCACTGTTATTCCTTCAGTCGCACTGTACTTCAGCATTCACATTCACTGATATTCCTTCAGTCGCACTGTACTTCAGCATTCACATCCACTGATATTCCTTCAGTCACACTGTACTTCAGCATTCACATCGACTGATATTCCTTCAGTCGCACTGTACTTCAGCATTCACATACACTGATATTCCTTCAGTCGCACTGTACTTCAGCATTCGCATTCACTGATATTCCTTCAGTCGCACTGTACTTCAGCATTCACATCCACTGATATTCCTTCAGTCACACTGTACTTCAGCATTCACATCCACTGATATTCCTTCAGTTACACTGTACTCCAGCATTCACATACACTGATATTCCTTCAGTCGCACTGTACTTCAGCATTCACATCCACTGATATTCCTTCAGTCACACTGTACTTCAGCTTTCACATTCACTGAAAATATCTAAAAATATGCGTGCCCTATGATATAATTAGTTATATCAAGCATTACATTAGTTCTGACACACAGGCACATTTTTAGTTGTTTTTTTTTAATACACAAGAGGTGCTAAATACTTTCACATGTTTTACACAGAGTAAGTCATTTCATGTGCTTGGCAAAGAAATAAAGGACTGTTTTCCACATTCTTATAACATAGACAGTCACCATCACCTAAATATTAACAAAGGTGGCTTCAACATATGGTAAACAGCTCAGCTACCTTTGTTCTGACACATATCAAATATGCTTTGACATAATGTGTTAAGTAAGCACTGTAGTTAGCACTGACATAATGAGTTTAGATTTTTTTTTTTTTTTTTAGATTTTTCCAGCTATTTACTAACAGTTTAAAAATAAATATGCCATATTTTGCAACTATTATATTAACAAATTACCACAATTATAAATCATTACAATCTGAGATCAGTACTACGATAATGTATATCCCATCCAACCAGCACATATAAAAACATAACATATAACTAATGTCATAGTAAGGTCTGAAGGTCAGATATTGGTTTGGTCAGTCATGTATCATGAAGGGGAATCCAACATCAATTTCATCATTCCTTCAATGCCAAGTACAACAAATTTTACTGTAACCAACATACACATCTACCGACATATCTACATACTTCCTGTTACAGTTATTAGAAAATCAATAGCAGAAAGCTATAGTCATAGTCCACCAAAATGAGTTTCAACCCCTCTGCTATCAACCAATAAACTACATCAACAGACCAAACAGGCACCACAGAGAGACCTGTCACTTAGACATAATGGAAGCAGAGCTAGAGGTCAATCATGCAAACGGACGGATGAAATACTTGAGGCCATAAATACCAGCACCTATGTTGCACACAATAAGGCATGCACCTGGTGCTTCTTCAAACCTGGCACTGACAGGCATAAGAGGACCAGAGAAGAAGCAATACAATTATGCTCTGTCGGGGTTATACTTGTGTCAAACAGCTCTGTAAAGCTGGTAACTTAATAGTTCCAATATTCGCAATTTTTAACAGCTATACATACTTTTTTTTAACAGATGCCATACACCTGACTTACAAATTAGCATAACTACCAATATTTTTTAGAAGAATATATTCTTCAATGCTGTGCTAACTCCACAGACTGGCTAACTGTGTGCCAACTACTCTGTTTGGGGAATGTTATGCAGTAAGGTCACCAATTTTCTCCATGGTTCAACGTCCCCACTAAGGTCTGAAACCCGTAAGCATTTAAAAAAAAAAAAAAACCAATGAAAAAGAATTAAAGTACACAAGCATCACAAAACTCTTAAATTCACTAACATCTAAGCCACATAGCTGCACAATTTAATACTAACAGGTAGAAAAAAAAACTGACAACAACAACATACCGATGGTGGTAGACTGATCATATTGCCAGACTCTCTCATGGCCGCCATCTGCTCCTGGGCAGTTGCCGGAGTAGCCTCAGGGCTAGCTCTGTCCTTTTCATCATCCTCTTTTTTACCACCCTTTTCTCTCTTGCTCCTCTTGCCTTTGCTAGGAGTAGCAGCAGTGGTGGCTGCAGTGTCCTTTAAAAAACACACAAATTTAGTCATAGCTATTAGTTTACTAATAAAGCGGTTCACTTACTAAAAGTTCAAGGTTCAGGAGACCTGTTAAAGGGAAAACAAGAATAAACCCACTGCCTACTCAAAAGCATGTCTATGAGTTGACAAGCTGGGAGTTTCCTTCGAAGTCTGAGTGCATCTGCCTGAGAGGCAAGGAACCTGCAGTCTGTATACAAATGAATCAGATCTGTAAAACGGATGCACATGCAACACTGAGGTTCTAGGACAGAACTGCAGTCCAGAAGTGGACGAACAACCAGAACCTTCTGCCCGAGTTTACAGCTGGTGAACAGGAAGAAGATTTACTACAAGCAAAAACACTTCTGTCAAATATTCTTGTAGACGCAGTGATTAACTAATACTACTACTACTTGGAGTAAATGACAAGAAATTCTGGCCGTTCATCCACTCTTTCTTTGGTCTTGTTCTAGAACTCGAGTTTTGTGTACACATCCATTTTACAGCTTTGGCTTATTTGTATGCAGACTGTCTATTCTTCTTTGCCTCTTAGGCAGGTGAACTCCGAATTCAAAGGAAACACCACTATTAAGGCGACTGACATGCTTGTCCCCTCCCCTCCTAAATTGAGCACCAGGGCCCACAAGGTAAGATCCACTAATATAGAACAAAAAACAATACTGATCACAATGCTGCATTATTCATCCATTTAAATTAGAATTCATCATCATCTTGTGCTGTTAGATGGCACATAAGGTTTGCAGTTTCTTATTCCATTCTGTTTAACTGTTTTAACATCATGTATGAGAAATCCAGACCTAACTCTTTTGGCCTCTCTCACCAACATCAGTTATATTTATATGTATTATAAGCTATCATTTCCTCAGCACATTTGCTTCCAATTTAAGTGCCTGTTTGGTGATATTCTGTTCTCTGCATGTGCCCAATCTATCACAATCTTGTCTATAACTGCTGTCACTAGCGGATGTCCAAATATTTCTTACTTCTTCTTTTTTTTTTAATTCCTCTCCTTAAATGGAATAGCTTCCCATTCTAATAATTTATGTGAGAGATTTTTTTTTAACGTGTTTGGGGTGCACACCCCCACCAAACCATCCTCCATTCTTATCCGGGCTTAAGAGCAGCAATGGTAGAGATTAAATTAGTATTACTAAAGTATTAGTTAAAAAAAATAACATATAGCAGCCTAAATGAACAATTTGGCAACATTTTCTACACACCTCTGTAAAATGTGATTTGAAAATTATGTGAAGCAACATAAAGATAATGAAAGTAAAGCAAAGATCCCTTTAGGCGCATCAGGCATATGGGAAGAGCATCCATATTTGTAGACCAATCAGCACTAGGTGAGTAATGTGGACAACATTACCCTGGCTGTCTTTACTTCCCCAGGACATACATCCTGGTAGCCATTTTAGACTGGGTCGACCTGCGACACCCCATATCACGATAAAAATCCCCACAGCCAGCAGTGAGTTTTGACTGCGCTATGTTGGAATTACAAGTCGGACTCGTAATGCCAAAGCCACGGGCGCCGCAAAGATAATGAAAGACATTACAAAAATAGTCGAGTGAGAATCAGAGACAATAAGTAATAGAATAGAATGGAAGAGAGCAAACAGAAGTTGCACACATTTAAACTCCATGCTTTCCATGCACTACAAACAAAATTAATTGGTAGCACCCACCTGGTCTGGGGGATTTTTTAGGATAAAAGTAGTGAGCTTGTGTCTCATGTCCACAGCTCCAAGGTTGCCGCAAGCAATGCAGCGTTGCTGAATGGTTCCTCGTTTCACCTGCACAACCTGAAGAACACAACCCTCTCTCTCTATAAGATCTTATAGAAATCTTGACCGATACATAAATGGGGCATAGTATTGTCGTTTAGTGCAAAGAAAGCATATGGCAAATCTCACTTCTGTGGTAATCATGTGGCTTCCTCAAACTTTTGTTAACGAGATGTTGATGTAACAAGTGATGTGATTTGTGTATTTCAGTGAGAAATATTAATGTGTGTGTACTTCATTATATGTTGATGTAACTCTGTAGTAATGCACATTAGTGGGATACAGAGGAATATATCAAATAAATAATGGAATATATTAATAAATCTTAAAAACAGGTTTTTTCCATGGTGACAAAATTTTCAAGATTTTTAAAATATTAAACACTATATAGATTACTCAAATAACTTGGGGGGGGGGGGGGGGGGGGGGGGGAAGATAAAATATTGATAAGATTTTTCTCCAACAAATGCAGATTATACCTTTCTTACAATATAGGTCTCTTGTCTAGAAAACTGCAGAAGCTCAGGGAAAAAAATATGCTGGAAAATCATATTCCCTGATACTTAAAGATCCAAGAAACTCATAAAAGTTTTATAATATATAAAGATTCTTTAATTTTACCAAACAAAACTGCAAATGTATAGAGACCATTTTTATTGCGTCTATCATATAAGAAGCAAAGACACAAACACTGTCCTTACCAAATTTGTTTCAGGATTTGAGCACTCTGGACAAAGAACAAACTTCTTAATGAAGCCATCCAGCAAGGTTTGCAGTTTCTCATCAGTATGGGAACCATTAACAATGTAGCGGTCATTCTTAGCGTCAAACTGAGTCTGTGCACCCAACTCACAGCCAAAAAACTTGGTAGGATCTGCAGTAAACAAAAATGTATTTTTCTGAAGTAAGACAGCTGACCAGTGTCACAGTTATTTATATGTACGTAAATATAGGAGAATTCTTTGTCTCATTTTATTCAAATATGAAACAGCTGACTTAATCTCAGATCTCTGTCAGGTGTCATATCCACAATGAAGGTTGGCTGAAATGAAACTATCTCTTGTCTTGGTTGTATACTTTCTCAGTCTGCTGTTCGCCCATCTCTCGATGATGTCCTCCCAATTGTAATGTTGTCTACCTCCTACCCTAAACATTTCCCTTTAGCATGGTTTTTAAAAGCGTATTGTCTTTTCATATTGCCAAAATATTTCAACTCTTCCCTTTCAATAATTCTCTTTTCAATTATAAAACAGGTGAAAATATATCAGAGAGCACCATTAAATGAAAGTCCATGATAAAACAATATAAACAAAAATGTGCTCTGCAGACTTTATTATTTTTTTGTTTTTAAAGACATGACAAGAAACAAAACTGTCATACTTACAGGTTGGAGGCCTGGACAATGCTTTAGCCACCTCTGACATGTTGACAATCACAGTTTTAATGCCATTTCCTTTTCCCTCTACCTAAATATCAAAAGTGAAAAATAAAATTTACAAAACCACATACACACACAGAGAGGGAGAGAAAGAGAGAATAAATTGACAAATTAAAGTTGGGTCTAAATTTGGGCTTTAAATTTGATGTCTATATAATTGCAGACAGTAGATTTTGGAATGAGGGGTGGATATACCTTTAATTGTAAAAGTACTGACATTAAACCCAATATTTCATTTACAGAAATAACGGTACATCAAAGATAATAGTAGTGTACAATGATAAAACAAGTAACATATAAAATTCTATCAAGTTTTACATCAATTATTATTATAACACCATAAATATCTACCCATAGCAACATTTTTCTTCTCCTCTTCCACCAATTACCTCATTATTGAAGTGCTTGGGGGAAGGGGGGTATGTGTCTTATCTGTGCTCTTTCCATTGTGTTTTATAAGTTTATTTTAATTTCTTTAAGGCTAGCCTTGATACTGTTGTTCCATTTATTGCATTGCCTTCTCCCTTTTGCTCTGTATTCATTACATTTCTTCAGTGTGGCCATCTGTCAGGACATTCTCGTTAGATGGCCAAACCATCTCATCTGCTGCTCTTTCACTAATTATATGACTGGTTTCAGTCCCCATCTTTTAATTTCTTTAGTTTTGATTTTTATCTCGTTTTTAATTACTCCAGCAGCTCTTTATCACACCGACTACCAAGCCCATTAAACCTTGCATCTTCCCAGATGGTCTTCTAATTACTTAAAAGACTAAATAAATAAAAAAGTAATCCCAAAATGTTAAAAAAAAAAAAATTGTTAAACTAGCTATAAATAATACCTGTAATAAAGTAACACGTAATCTGAATGCCAAAAACTAACCTTGGCTACGAGCCGAGGCATCTTATAGCGGTAGAACGGGTCTGTATTGCCCCTGTCAATGTTGAGAGCCATATTTGTCGATTGTTTATATGAGCTGGTTTTCTCTTCCTATGAATACTGCTGTGAACTTTACTCAGATGTTTTTGATGGATTGGAAACTTCATATACACGATTGAAGCGCAACCGCTTCGAAATGCCAATATTTTTGACTCAATGGTTTCTGAGTGCCGCAACAAGGGCTCTGAAAACAAAAAGGTCACATATGCAGCATTAATAATGGCATTTGCTTGCAGAGAGCATCAGCAGACACAAACAAACTACATCAAACTTAATAAAAGCTTATAAAAACACACGCTAAACTGGAATTGTGGTAGTTCAGTAACTAGGCACGTGCCTGAGAGCCAGAAGATCTTGGACTAAAACCTGCTTCTTCTTCTTCACTTCCTCTTTTACCGCTGTGGGTGTTGAGGGAGATATAAGGTTCTGTTTTTAGCTCTTCTGGCTGCCTCGACCATAGGCACATCGTGCTGTTGTAGAGTTTCTCTGATGTTATCCTTCCATCTTGTTCTTGGTCTACCCCGTGCTCTACGTCCTTCTTCTCTTTCCATGTATGCTTTGTATGGTATGGTGTCACAAGGCATTCTCTCTAAGTGGGCAAACCATTTCACTTGCTGTCTTTGTATGTAATCCAGAATTGGTTCTGTGCCGACTTGTTCTCTTATGATCTCATTCCTGATCTTATCTCTTATGGTCACTCCTACAGCCCTTCTCAGACATCTCATTTCCGTGGTTACTAATTTTCTTTTATGGTTTGTTGTGAGTGACCATGTCTGGCACTGGTAGCACAGAGTTGGAATAAATATGCTTTGAATAAGATGTCTCTTTGTGCTGATTGGGATTGTCTTATGCTGTAAGAGGGGGGCTAGCTGTCCCAATACTTGGTTTGCTTTACTGCATCTAATGTCAATTTCTTTATCCAATTTCCCATCTTCTGTAAATGTAGTTCCCAGATATTTAAACTCAGATGCCTGTCTAATGCCTTTGTATTCTATTGCTATGTTTAGATCTGTCTTCTTTTTTTCCTATTGACATTACTTCTGTCTTTTCAGTGTTGATTCTCATATTATTTGTTTTACATTCAAACCTGCATCATGCTGAAAATGAGCTACAAATCACAGGTTGTAAAAGTAAAGGAACTCTTCCATGCCTTTACACGTACTGGGCATGCAGGGCTAGTAAAAAAAAAAGTTAAGATTCCCTTTCACACCTTTCGGCGCATCGGGCATATGGGCAGAGCATCCCATATTTTTACAGACCATCAGCACTCGGAGGGTAATGTGGTCAGCATAATAGACCAATCGGCACTAGGCAGGTGATGTGGTCAACATCATCATGGCCACCTTTACTTCCTAAGGCTTTATCTGTAGCCATTTAAGTCTGGATCAGCCTGGGAGCCAAGGCCATTTTGGGAAAGGAAAAAAACAGTCCACCATCTCCTTCACAGTAGGTGAGCGTCTAGCCATGGCGGCTCTCAAATCCTAGGCTGACGCAGCATTAACTACACAGATGAAAATATTATGGGAAGTAAAGGCAATCCAGTCTTCCGAACCACATCACCCCTCGACTGCTGTCTGGCCTATAAATAACTATGGATCTAGCATTACCTGCCTGATGTGCCAACTGCATAAAAAGGATCCTTCACTATTTTTTTTTAAACCCATCCTATACTATTCGACTTTCCCTGGAATTCCCCATGAAATCTGAAAGCACCAGAGATAGGGTGAAATAAAAGAAAAGAACCTGCACAATTATTCCCAATAGGGGCACAGAGTTACTGAGCCACACGTGGTAGGGCAACAGGACCAGAGCTTATACTGGTCAAAACCTATGTACATCCAGTGGCCATCCTAGAACCATAGGTTCCCATTTGGAAGTCTGGCCAGAGTTGATAGGAATGACATTTCCTTTAGACTGCATCAGCCTGAGAGGCATGAAAACAGACGACACACACACACACACACACAAAACCAGATGTGTAAAACGACTATATACGCAACATTTAAGTCCTAGAACAAGACCATCATAGTCCAGAAGTGGACAAACAACCAATACTTTGCATTGAAAATTACAGTCAGTGAGCATGAAGAAAAAGAATTAATCATCAAATTTGTTAGTTACCGGATTTTTCTTTGTACTTACAAACAATGTTTGAAGTGTTGTCTATTCAGAAAGCTCTAAAATAACAGCTACATCAAAGCATGCAGAAAAACCACAAAAGCACAACAGTAACCTGAATTACATGCGATGGAGAAGGGGGTGGTGTATGTGTGTAAATGCATGCATGTGTGTATGTACATCAAATGTAGAGAATAATTAGACTGTTGAAAATATATACAATGTCTACATTTTATTATACTGCTAGAAGGCACAAACGGCCTGCACATGCTGAGACAGTAATCCAGGTTCAATCCCCACAACAGCTAGGGGTCAGTGCAGCCTCGTGAACTGATAGCAGACAATTTCTAGAATTTCATGAGAAAAGGACAGACAACCCCATTCCCCCCCCCCCCCTTAAAAAATGTAAAGCATAAGTCAATCATTTTCCATGATGTCTTTTCTTTATAGTTTATACTTAGTTCAATTCCATATATAATGATAATGGTGGTAATCTAGAGAGCTTTTACCCTACCAGTAACTAAAAATAGTCTGATACAAGGGCAAGGGACAAAATAAAAAAAAAATGTACTGTTCCTAAAAAAATAAAATGTGAATGACGCAATTCTTTGTCAAGGCTTAAACCATGATAAAGCCCATTTGATTTATTACTAGCAACTGAGCAACTGTTTGGTGTTCAAACTGAAAGTTTGATAGTTTCTTCACCCAAAACTTACATTCTGTCTAATTTCAGAACTAATCCTACACAAAAAAGGTTTCTGTTTAAAAAATACGAATAAATAGGTATAAAAACTTGTACTTGGTGTCCGAGTGGGAGGGGAATGACCCGAAATGGCCGCATGGTGGTGATAGCTAGGACACGTTGACCTCAAATTATAAAATATAAAACAATTTATCGTAACATATTATACTTGATAATATATCTAACTTGCTACTTTGACATTATTTACGCATCAGAGCTTGTCATACTCACCGTTTTGACACAATAAAGTCATAAAAATGCTGTCTTTGATTCTGCGCTTTACCAGCAAAGTGATGGCAGCAGGCCAAAAAAAAGAAATTGGCCTTCCAAACAGATCGGGTTGAATTGGTAGAGAAGGGTTATCAACACGATTACCTGAGGACATAAATTGTTACAGTAATACTTTACGGTCATCAATGATCATGTTTCAAACAACAAAAACAGATACAGACAGCAAATACTGAAATTATAATTACTAACAGTCAGCGTCTGACGTGCCTGAATGCCGTGTGCTTACCCGGATGTTGAATGATTACATACGTTGCAGGCAAACTATGTCGTCTCAAAATAAGATTTTAACGGTTGGCTCAAATAGGACTTTTATTTCACTAAATATTTGCTGCGCGTTAGTTTCGTTGGTAAAACGTTAATTATTGTTTTGAAATTCAGAACGGCAACTTTTGCAGAAAAGTGTTAATGATGGTCACAATCAGGAGATTTGGTCCATGATGTCAAAAATAATGTGCAATGGGAGCGAGGTGCGCCGTGAACATAACGGAATCCCCGAACGTTATAAGTACCTCTCTGAATGGAAAGTTCTCACTACGTGTTTAGTTGGGCAATAGAAAGTCGTTGTTGTTCTTTTATCAAATGAGACTAAATATGCATAATTCACAGGTCCGAAATCAGTCTCCCAAGTCACCTATGCTCTAAATTCGACACATTGTCTATTTAATAATAATAAAAAGAATATTATAATGCTGTCTCATCATCATCATGTAGCAGATCCTTTGCAGAACGTCGCTCTCATCACGGTCTGCGTAATAGAAATTCGGTCTCTCGCCAGTTCTCCCGCCTCATGTACTTTCCTACTCAAGGAGTCACTTATATCCTGTGCCCATCTTCGTGTCGGACGGCCCCTGCCCCCTCCTTCCTGATACCATGCCTTCTTGATATGACCAAAATATTTCAGCTTCCGAGACAGGATGCTGTTTATTAGCAAATCTTCCTTGATGTTCAGATCTTTCAAGATGTCAGTATTATTCCACTTCTTTTTCCAAGATATTCCGAGAATCTTTCTGTAGCATTTCAGCTCAAAAGCCCCTTTTCTCTTTCTTAAGGACTGAGAAATAGTCCAAGACTCACATCCGTATGTAGCCACAGGGAAGATGCATGCTCTCAAAATTCTAATTTTGATCTCCTTGCTGGTGCTTAACCACAGACTTTTAAGGCTGTTCAATCTTTGCATTGCTATGGCCGTCCTCCTTTTAATTTATGTCAAACAGTCCCCATTACTGTTTATTACAGAGCCTAGGTATTCAGAGTTTGTGACATTTTTCAATTTCTTCATCATTTATTGTTATTTTTGGGTGACAGCCAGTTTTATCTGTGAACATTATTGTCGTTTTCTTTAAATTCAAGAACAGAATTTGATCTTCACTGTGTTTTTGGACAGACAATATTAAATTTTCTATTCCCTTTACGCTTTTCGAAGGGATAATGCTGTCTACGAGACTAAAATAAGTCATGAAGTCGACCCCATCCAATTATTATATCCCTAGCCAACTGACGACTCGTGGAGGCTTAGAAATGGCCCGCGGATTATTGCCTGTTGTATTATTATATTATTGATCTTTCTACGCTTAGTTAAACAGCCCTGTCCCTAGCAATGAAAAGTGCCAAGAGCCCTTTTAAGTGCGAACAAAAAAAGGGGGAGGATGAAAGAGAACAAAACGAAATTACCCCTGCAGTGGATCCCATCCCGTTTTGATATCCCGACAATGAAAGGAAAGGCAAACATGCAAAAGCTGAAAGAGATCCTCGCGCAACTCCATCCGTCATAGATCCTCGAAAAGGTAAAGATACACCTGGAAACATTAGAAGATTAATCACAGAGAAGGAAAGGAACAATTACTGTCCAGAGAATGAAAGCATA